CTCTAAATTAAAGTGATTGTGAGGAATTTAGTTTATACATTTATTTTTCTAATTTTTAAAAATAATAAATATATAAAAATATTTTATTTCAATTAATTTTTTAATTAGTAAATAAGCTTCTAACTCCTAAGCAATTGTCAGATTTTTTTCATTATTTTTATGCATCTTGTCTTCAATTATGTTCAGTTACTAATGCAATCAATTGAATTTTTTAGGTGGTATTCCCTAGTTTAAAGAAGCTTATAATTTGGGAGATGAGGAGCTTGATCAAGATATGGGACGAACAACTTGATGAAGATTCCTTCCGCAAACTAGATTTCCTTCGTGTAGAATATTGTGAAAAACTATTGAATATTTTTCCAATTAATATGGTAGGGAGGCTACATAACCTAGACGTGTTGTTGATAATTTATTGTGTTTCACTAGAAGAAATATTTGAACCTCAAGGTCTAGATGCTGATGAATCAGAAGCACAAATAACTGCTCAATCAGCTTTGGTGGAAACAACCCCTAATTTTGTATTTCCAAAAGTAACATCTTTGGGTCTTTGGTGGCTACCTAATCTCAAGAGTTTCTACTCTCAAATACATTCAACAGAATGGCCGTCATTGAAAAACTTGCACATGATTAAGTGTCATAAAGTGCAGATACTAGCTTCAGAAATTCTGAGAACAAGTGGAGAGAACCAACTTGAAATCCAAATTGAACGCCCTCTGTTTTGGGTCAGTAAGGTATAGACATCTATGACATTTTAAATTGAATATCTTTTACTAACGTATATTTAAAAAGTGGACAGAAAAGTGGAAAGCTATGAGAATTTACTCAATAGCATTAGGGTTTTCGAATCTCAATTTTGCCAAACGAGCAGAGGATTTACTTCAAATACACATTTCATCCTTCTAAGTATGTACTTTCTCAATTCTTCTGTTAATTTTCAGGCTACATTCCCCAATCTACAAGAACTGATGGTGGAGTGGAATGATGACCTCAAGGAGATATGGCACGGTGATGATGATGTCAAGAATGATATTACTTTCACCAAACTGAAGTCTTTGCAACTTAAAGGTCTTCCAAGGCTAGCAAGCTTCTGCTTAGGGAGTTGCAACTTTGAATTCTCATCTTTGGAAGATGTAATTGTGATGGGGTGTCCAAATATGATGACTTTCTCTGGGGGAGAAGTGAGTGCACCTAACCTACAGGAAGTAAAATTCACAAAAGATGAAGGTGTTAAATGTTGGGAAGCTGGCCTTAACCCCACAATAGAACAGTTGTTTGCAGAAAAGGTATCCACTAATTCAAAAGATATACTTATATTTTTCATTGTTAAAGCTGTCTTTCCTTCTACTTAATTATCCTGTTGCAGACATGATCAAGTAAACATGGTGGATGATAACAGTAAACTCCATTGATTATTTTTAGTTTGAAAACTTTTTCCTGCAATGTTGTGCCTCAAGTGCTGATGACAACTCACTACAGAAGACTAATGACTAAACTTAGCCTTTACAAAAGCTTGGGTTAGTTGATAGCCCTTTGTTAGTCATGTCATAAAATGCAAGCTAGAAGCTACTGTTTTGTTTTTTTGTTTTTCCATTTTTCCCTCTACAAATTTATTTGGATTTCTTGTGTAATAACTAGCAAAGTATTGCATTTTGTAGATTGGATATGCTGTGGTAACACATCTGAAACTCTGGCAGTTTCTTGGGTTGATAGGAATAAGGAGCAAGAAACCTCAAGAAATCTTAAATTTCAGTTGGCTTTGCTCTCTAGAAATTTGTAATTGTGGTAACTTGAGATACTTGTTAACTCTTTCCATGTCATTGAGCCTTGTTTCTCTCAAAAAGATGACAGTACAAAACTGTGAACTGCTGGAGCAAGTCATCTCAGAAGAAGGGGCCAGCTTGAAGGACGACATTGTTTTCACCAAACTGAAGTCTTTGGAACTTAAAGGTTTACCGAGACTTGAAGGCTTCTGTTTGGCTCATTACAACTTTGAATTCACATCTTTGGAAGATGTAATTGTGATGACATGTCCATATATGATGACCTTCTCTGGGGGAGAAGTAAGTACACCAAAACTGCATAAAGTGAAATTAACAGGTGATGATGAAGATGAAGGATGTTGGGAAGGTGGTCTTAACCGTAGGATACATCGTTTGTTCACAAAAAAGGTATTCATTTGCTCAAAGGATTTCCTTTTGTTTTTCATTTTTATAGCTCTCTTGCGATCAAATCAAATAAGGTGCAAGGTTGTGGTAACTTCATAAATTTTAATTTTGAAGATTTTCCTGCAATTTTTGCTTTCCTCCTTTAAAACGTTCCTTATGACCTGCAGAGTGTCAATGACTCTAAAGAAGACTGAAATTTATGCTTTATAAAAGCTGGTGTTGGTTTAATCTTCAATATGGTGAGTAGATTCTCTGATTCCATCAACTTTACTTTTCTGATATTTCCCATAAGGACACATCTCTTATACAATCTCTACATGTTTCTGATATTTTCTTACTGACAGGTCATATGGCTCTAGATTTTAGTGACTGCAAGCTGCAAATTTTCTTGGCACCTATAAAATATTATTTAGATTTCTAAAACTAGCCTTCAGAGTTTTGAACTCCTTGTGTGACCTTGTCTTGTTAGTATTTAATTTCGTGTCCTGGTTTGGTATTGTGGTGTTAAGGACAATATTTAAACCTTGTGTTATCAGAACATATGTATCTTAATACAGAAAATGTGGTGTGTCTAAACTTTGGTATTGTGGCCTCTAGACAAATTTTTTTCTTTTGCTGGCTTGGTTTTGAACATGATGTTGCAACAAGATTTCATATGAATCTAGCTAAACGTTGTCTTATGCACCCTAGTTGTAGTTTCTTGACATTCGCAAATCCTGATGCTGTTTGGGTTCTACTGGTAAGGATTATGAATTTCCATGGTGAAAATTTTACAGAAAGCAATTCAGACTGCCACAAAAAGGAGAGCAACGCCAAGGTTTGACTAGGTTAGTGGTTAGACAATAAAAACACATCACAATTTTTTTAGTGGATACTTATTTTTTAATAAATATTGATTCTTATCTTGACAAACTGTTACAGAAACAAAAAGTGTCTTGCAATCACATTTTCTATTATTAATTGCGTCGTAAAATAGTTATTTTTTGATATATAATGCAAAATTAGTATTTAACAATTGAATTTGTAAAAAAAATTTAATATTGTGATGTTGTAATAAAGTACTATTAGAAAAAAATAAAATAATATCATTTTTATTTAAAAAACT